ACATTCTAACTTCCGGTTTTCATAAATGTTTCCAGAATGTTGATCATGTCTACAAGTTGTTTTTGAACATCTTGAACATGTATCAGAAAGAACACAAGAAAGGTATGTACGATTTATTTAACAATCGATCAGAATTCGGAAATAGGTGGAGTACTCAAGGAAGGTATGTATAAATTATTTAACAAATTCTGATTCTTAATAAGTTCTTAAGGTTAAAGGAAATGCAAAGGTTGAAGAGACAAAAGATACAAGATATACTGTTCAAATCAAAATCACCACATGTAGTTAAGTGTATCATGTTAGTTTACTACCCTTATTGTTGGCTTTCAGATTTTTTATGCTAAATTAGGTTGCCAAAACAGTGTTGGGGTTGTATAGCTTGGATTGAGTCTGTTAAAACAATCTTGGTTTTTTCCAAACAAAGGGTTATTTTATAAAATTATGATTGTAGTTAATGGAGCAATGATGGAAAATGTGGGGAAGGTTTAATAATAAGGTAAGTTGACATAGGATAGGATATAAATCGGTTATAGAGTTAGGGTCATCACTGTCACTTACCGGCTAAGATTCTCAATCCTTATTATGTTCATCCGATAAGAGTCATCAATTTCACTTACTGGGTAAATCATCACACACAATACCGTTTTGATGGACTACAATCTTACTTGGTAAAGTAAATTAGAGTATTGATTCTTACCAGTAAGTACTTACCGGGTAAGCGTTTAGGTAAACGGACCCTTAGTTACATTTACGACAAGCTGGTTGCATCACTCTTGCGAGTTGCATACCCCCCCCCCCCCAAAAAAAAACAAAAAACAAGTTAGCAAGAGTGCCCAGATTTGCTTGTGAAAATTTAGGTCTCTTTGTTTGCTTGCTTGGTTTGCTCAAGTGTGTGAACTGTTTTGCTTTTTCATTATGCTTTTAGGATTGTTTAACATAATTGGGGTTTCTGGGTTCTTGTGATTTTTGTTCAAACCATGATGTTGGTTGATGTTTTATTGTTAGTGTCTCTACTCCCTGTTGGACCATAAGTTATTCTTTTGATTTCACATCTTGTAGAAACTTTTCTACTTTTACACTTTAAGATAAGTCTAGAGATGTTGGTTGATATGTGCTTTTTGATGCTTTAAGAAGTCTAGAGCTGTTTCTAGAGAATGTGAGGTCTGGTTATCTCTTGTGTATCATCAGTCCTAAGAGCCAACCTTCAACAAAACAGGATAGAGAAGGGGAATGTATTATGATTTGGGGTGTGTTCAGATACGCTACTATCTGTTTAATTTGGCTGCCGGAAGATATATTGGATATTGATTTGATGAGTTCGAACCAGTTGTGCTTCCAATTTCTGTTGCTGGTATGCACCTTAAAGTTTCAATTTTGACTGCACCTATTGCATCTTGCTTCTGGATGGTCCACTCCTTATGGTGACTGTATACTCGATTCAATTTCTATTTGGTACGTGTTGGCCATATTGCATTCTCTATAGTTTATGACAATAAGTGAGAGAATGGTTCATAAACAACTTTGTGCTAAAGTTAACCATTCTAAATATTACCTTCTTTTGGTTGTTTCTATTCAGTATATGACATTGTTAAATCATTCCCATTTTCTTCTTTGAAGACTTGGGTTCTGCTAGAAAATGTAGATGGTAAAATGTCTTTTTAATCATCAACATTAAAGCATACTATGTTCTGGGATTCCTTTTGGTTATGAGTATGAATCACAAGTTCCTAAATATTATTTTGTAGTATACAAATTTTTTTTTGTCTGTTTTGCAATTTTTTACCTTGTATAAATACCCAAATAATTAGATAGCGATCACATGTTAGCATGAAAGATTTCATTTTCATTTTTTCATCAAACAAAATTCAAGATAATTAAGAAACATTTTCATTATTTTTTTTCTTTTGGAATTTTTTTTGTTTTTCAATTACTGCAACTAATTAATTATTTTTGAATATGTTTGATATATTTTAAAAAATGCGTAAAATTTGTTACGAAAAATTACAATTTTCTTGAAAGTATTTGCTATATTTGAGACCACATGATGATACCTTGTTTTAATATTGAACACAAAAGGAAAAATGTCATTATTCCAAGCGGTTTTGGACTCCAACCATTTCATTACACATAACCTGAAGCATTTGGGAAAGCATAAAAAATTTGCAACGACATCTTACTCCAACATAATATTAAAAACAACATGCTCTTAACACTTTTTAACATACCCTATGGTATACGCTTTGTTACGAAATGTGTCCATAAGTCAAACTATGTGTTTTATTTGGAAGAAAATGTGTTTGTACTACACATTCTATTTTACATTTTCATATTTTATGTCTTGTTTACGCCACATAAAACTCTTCTTACAGGAAATACTTCAAAGCATCTTGCAAAAATTTGATATTTAAAAATGAAATGTATCTTAATAAGGACATGTGCATCCCGCAGCAATGTGCAGGTACACAACTAGTAAATACATAAACGGTAGGTCAGGATTGTCTAGAATATTTTTTATTATCAATGCCTCTATTAGTTTTATTGTCCAGCCTAGATCTGTACATTTTTTCCGAAAATAATTGTCAAAGTTTGCTTTTCTAACAGACTGAGCGTATCGTCATCTAGCATATCCTACTATTGATGAACAACTCTACTAGCACATTAGGGTACATGCCGGTTGACTTTAGCGGATGTTAGGCTCAACAAAGATTAGTGAAAGCAAATTGAAACGTTAGAAACAACTGAAGTGATTTATATTTGAAATTGCTATTGATAAAAATCGATAAATAAAAAGATCACTTATGTAATTTACTCAATGTTTTATTGGGAACAATAACAATTGAATAAATTAAGGTAAAGTTTTTAATAAAATTGTTTCGCATAACATGATTTCTTACTAAAAAAATTACGTCCCATAATTTTTTATTAAGAGATTATATCCATAATTTTTCATACTATTTATTGTTATATCAACAAAAATATTGATATGAGGATAAAAAATTCGTTATTTTACGGTTTATCGTAACAGTCATTTATAATAAGTTATATTATAATTTGTTAATTAAGTTTTTAGAACATGAGGTTTTTATTTTTAAGACATTTTCCCAAGAGGTTCTTATATGGTCATATATACTTATCCATTTAGAGATTCTTAACAAGAAAGTAGAAACCAACTCCTAGTACAAGAACTTAACTTTTTGTCTAATTTCTTTTTTTATTCTTGATTTTAATCATTTTTGTTATATTTTATTTAAATTAATTTATAAAACATAATTAATATTAAATCTGTAACTTAATAATTTTTTCGGAAAGTTTTTTTATACAAGTTTTTTTTGGATCATTCAAAAAAATTTCGGATGGTTTTTTATACAAGTTTTTTATTTTATTTTATTTAATAAGTAAATAAAAAAAAAGTACAATTACCTGTTTTTATCTATATTCAATGGATTTAATATATTTTTTGAATAATATAAAATTATTGAAATTGTTGCAAACATATCTAATAATATATTTATTAGAGTGAATTACACTTATGGCCTTGTAGTTTGTTCAAATTTTAGATTTGGTCTTTAAAACAAACTATTTACATTAGTGGTTCTTAATTTTTTATTTTCATAACATCCATGGTCCCTGCACTTAACAATATTAGTTATCAATCACTATGAATCACTTGTCCATAGGTGTTCATGGTTTGATTTCCTACTTGAACCAAAGACACCTCTATTAATGGTCATGTAAAAGGACTTTTTAAGTGAAAAAAGTGCATACTACTATATCATTTGGCATCAATATTGAACTACAAACAAAACTACACACAACCATTGCAATGACAATGGACTCAAATTCTTGAATCAGTTGTTATCCTCTTAACTCACCGAACCACAAGTCTGACATTTAATTCAAACACATAGATCCAATTGCCTCAACTGTGTTGTGTTTTCAGGAAGATGATCAAAATTGAGAGATGGAGATGAGTAAGCATTTGATACCTAACTAAATTGAGAGTTTGAAATCGATAAAACTATACCTAAGATGGAGCGATGGAGAATGAATCTGAATCTGGAGAAGATAAAGATGAAAGCAAGAACTGGAGAATGAATTGAACCCCTAACCGTATCATTTATAGTATGGGGAGACTGAATCGTCATCTGGGGAAGATAGATGTGTGTGAATCGTCACCGGGGGATACATGCTACGGCCGGTCTTGGGAAGAGACGTTTAAGTATAGTATTACATTTAGCTTTTCATTTTGTCAAGACTTTTACTAATATACTTTATAAGACGGTACATATTATTTCCTATTACTTTTTATTATGTTAAATATCCATGTAATATAATTTACATATATTAGGTTTATCTATCTTAGAGAACAATATAAATAATAATTTATTAAAACAAAATAATATACAAAACGTATATTTTCCGGTATTAGGGGCCATTTACCAAATGCTTATTCGGATAAGTGTTTACCAAGTCAGGTTACCTCACCGGATGAATATGATAAGGACCAAAAATCTTATCCGGAAAGAGCGAGACGAAGACCTTCCAGCCTAGTGGTAAAGGCTTGGGCATGACATAGTCATGAACCCAAGTTCGAGCCCTGGGAAGGGAGTGTTGGCGACATTTAAGTGGGGCCATGTTTAGCCTCCAAAAATTGCTGGGGATTAGTCGGGCTTTGGCCCGGACACCCTGACCAAAAAAAAAAAAAAAAAGAGCGAGACGAAGACCATTGTCTTATCCGGTGAGTGAGGACGACGGTAAGCATTTACCGGGTAAATTATTGCATGTGATGTCGTTTTAATGGACTAAAATCTCTCCCGATAAGTAAATAATAGTGTTAAATTTTATTGATAATCAATTACCGGGTAAATATTTTATAAACGGCCCTGGAGAATCTCTTAGTAGATTATTAGTTTACTACTAATAAGCCAACAATTATTTTGGTATGATGGATGTTATTAAAGCATCCTCATGTCATCACATCTCGCAAACCAAAACGTTTAATGTCACATTTGAACGCAATAGCATTGAGAGTAACCCAAATCAAGCACTTATCACAGTTCCATGCTCAGGTCATCCACCATTCACTTCAACACCATAGCTATTGGGTGTCACTCCTTATCAGTCACTGCACGCGCCTCCGTGCACCGCCGTTCTATACCCGCCTCATTTTCAACTCCGCCCAACAACCCAATGTTTATGCATTCACCAACATGCTCAAGTTCTACTCCCACGTCGGAGCCCATGATGATGTCATCGCCCTCTTTGATTGTATGCGGGTCTCTGGTGTTATACCCGACGCCTTTGTCTTTCCTGTCTTGATTAAATCGTGGGGTAAGGCTGCGATTGTCTTTCATGGTCATGTTTTGAAGATGGGACATCAAGGTGATCGTTATGTACGTAATGCTGTCATGGATGTGTATGCGAAGCATGGGCCTATTTGTTTTGCACGTAAGCTGTTTGATGAAATGTCTGAAAGGATGGTTGCAGATTGGAATTCTATGATTTCTGGTTATTGGAGATGGGGGAATAAGGTTGAAGCTGATAAGTTGTTTACTTTGATGCCTGAGAGAAATGTGGTCACTTGGACTGCAATGGTTTCTGGATATTCAAAGACTCGAGATTTGGTTACTGCAAAGAGGTATTTTGATCAAATGCCAGAGAAAAATGTTGTTTCTTGGAATGCAATGTTATCTGGATATGCCCAGAATGGGTTTGCAGAAGAGGCTATAGAGCTGTTCAATGAGATGGTTAATAGGAGAGTTCAACCTGATGAAACAACATGGGTTGCTGTCATTTCCTCATGCTCAGACCGTGCTGATCCAAATCTTGCAAATTCACTTGTGAAGATGCTCAATCAGAAGAATGTTAGATTAAACTCCTTTGTTAAGATTGCGTTACTTGACATGCATGCAAAGTGTGGGAATCTTGCAGCTGCGAAGAAGGTTTTCGAAGAGTTGGGTGCATTCAGAAATGCTGTCGCATGGAATGCAATGATTTCTGCATACACACGGGTTGGTGATTTGAGTTCTGCCAGAGAACTCTTTGATAGGATGCCCAGAAAGAATGTAGTCTCATGGAATTCAATGATTGCTGGTTATGCACAGAATGGGCAATCGACAATGGCAATTGAGGCCTTCAAAGAGATGATCAGGTCCAAAGACATGAAACCAGATGAAGTTACTATGATCAGTGTGATATCTGCATGTGGCCATCTAGGGGTTTTGGAGTTAGGAAACTGGGCTTTAAACTTTGTAAATGAAAATCAAATCAGTTTGAGCATTTCAGGTTACAATTCAGTCATTTTTATGTACTCCAAGTGTGGAAGCATGAAAGATGCTAAAAGGGTTTTTGAGGAAATGGAGACAAGAGATGTTATTTCCTTCAACACTTTGATCACAGGTTTTGCAGCTCATGGTGACGGCTTTTCAGCCATTGATTTAATGCGGAAGATGAAAGGAGATGGTTTTCAACCTGATCGAATAACATATATTGGTGTTCTAACAGCCTGCAGTCATGCAGGAATGTTAGAAGAAGGTCAAAGAGTCTTTGAATCTATCAGTAACCCAGATGTGGATCACTATGCATGCATGATTGACTTGTTAGGTCGAGTAGGTAAGTTGGATGAAGCAAAAAGATTAATCAAAAAAATGCCAATGGTTCCCCATGCTGGAGTCTATGGTTCGCTCTTAAATGCTAGTCGAATTCGAAAAAGGATTGATCTCGGGGAGTTTGCTGCAAGGGAACTTTTCAAAATTGAACCAGAAAATTCAGGTAACTATGTTTTGCTTTCAAATATGTATGCTTCAATGGGGAGGTGGGGTGATGTTGAGAGGATCAGAGGAGAAATGAGATTAGGAGGTGTAAAGAAAACCACCGGATGGAGTTGGGTGGAATTTGGTGGGAAATTACATAAGTTTATAGTAGGTGATAAATCACATGAAAGATCAAACGATATATACAAATTATTGAAGGAACTAAGAGAGAAAATGAGGAAAGCTGGATACACAGCTGATAAGGATAGTGTGCTAAGAGACGTTGAAGAAGAAGAGAAGGAAGAGATGGTGGGAACTCATAGTGAGAAACTAGCAGTTTGTTTTGGTCTTCTTGTTAGTGAAGCTGGGACCAGTATTCGAATAATGAAGAACTTAAGGGTATGCTGGGATTGCCACGAGGCTATGAAGATGATCTCAAAGTTGGAGGGCAGAGAAATCATCGTGAGGGATAACAACAGATTCCATTGTTTTAATAATGGTTCTTGTTCGTGCATGGATCACTGGTAATCTTATTGTCAAACCAATAGAAAGATCCAATAACATATAAATGGTGCCAACAGATTTGGGCTTCTTTAAAGAAAAAATGGAGTTAATACATCAACTTTGACTTCTATACCAGTGATCTCGATCATGAAGATTATGATGTTCAATTGTGACCATTGATGCGGTGGTGGCTGATCATGAGCAAAGAAAGCTGATGCATTGAATCATACAAGGGACCTAGTGGGGATAGGGATACAAACTAGGATTACGAAAGTGAATGTCCATCACGCCAATGCTATCATGCAGTTGATACATTCCTAGCTGTGAAGCTGAAGATGGCAATCTACGCTCAAAGGTAAGCAGCCAGCACCATGTTACCATGTAGGATCTATTGACATTTTCATAGACTTCTTAGACTCGAGTTCAATTTACCAAAGGATTTTGCAATTGACAAGTTGCCCTAGACAATTTTCTCTCTACAATGGCATATAGATGCATGCATACATATAGAGAGAGGGACGTTAAGGAGAGAATTCAGAAAAGGAGACTCAACCGTTGGATCTAAAAATAGATGGCACACATATAAATGTATCCGCCCCTGTAATCGTGGATTTAATTTTAAGACAATGTAACCTCTCCTATTATTCACAACCCAATTAAAATGGATAGATGGTTTGGATGACCCTTTTTCTTAGTGTTATCTCTCAAATCCAACCCCTATAAATACATATATATATATATATACATACATATATATATATATACATACATATATATATATATACATACATATATATATATATACATATACATACATATATACATACTCCTCTATATAGGGGTG